AGAAGAGAGAACTGTGAGAACTTTTTTATCTCAGAAGCTTACAGAGTCTTTATAAGATTGAAACAGATATTTACAGATATAGTGATACTGTTTTACTTTGATCTCTTACTCTTAATCAGATTAAAGATAGATATCTTCTTCTTTATAATTTCAGAAATAGTCTTATAACTACAGTTAAATGAGAACTGAGTTTCAGTGATCTTTTTCTTATAGAAGATGTAATCTATGAAGATCAACTATAATATTTATAATTAGAAGCTTCTTATAATAGTGAAATTCTTTCATCACTGATATCACTACTTTGAGAATCTTATAACAGTGATTACTGTTAGAACTGATTATAACAGCTTATAACAGTTTACTTTAATTAAGAAACTCTTATAATAACAGATTCACTGAGCTCAGAGACTGAGTGAGTTCTGATTCAAGATAGAATATATTAAGAAAACTAAGAACTCAGCAGATGAACTCTCTCACAGGCCAGACTATGTTAAGAAGATCAGAGTGATAGACACAGAGAGACTAGAGAAGATAGAAAAGCTTCACAGAATACTCAGACTGAGTGTTATAAAGAGATTAACTGAAGAGTCTCTCAATTCTCTGTGAGAGAAGAGAAGAAAGAGAGAGAAGAAGCCTGTACAACTACTCTCTATAATACTGAGAGTCAACACTCTGAGAATCTCTGTGAGAATTCTTGAAGAGAGTATCTATAATCTGAAGAGTTTGCAGGCTTTGAGAAGCACTGTGAAAGACTTGATATAAGAGAAAACAGAGTATAAGTCTTTATAAGATCTTCTATTCAGATTGTCTGAATTATAACTGAAAAATGAATATACTCAGTATATTCAGAAACTGCTTACAGCAGAGATTAACTCTGCAGAAATAAAGAATTGAAGAGACTTAAATAATCTCTTGTGAAGAGAGAGCTGAATTTATATACCTGTGAATGAGTTTCTATATATAGAACTTATTAAAAGATATTATAACTCTTCTCTAGCAGATCATTTTACAGACACTAGAACTTATGAGTTACTTATAAGAAAATACTTCTGACTGAAGATATAAGAACTTGTGAAGAAGATAGTAAATTCTTATACTGTTTATCAGAGTTTATGAGTAGTATAGTTCAGATTATATAAAGAACTTACTTCTCTACTCATTCTGCAGAAACCTTGAGAACAGCTAAAAATAAATACTCTTATAAGTCTTTCTGAAAGTAAGAACATATATAATGTCTGCTTTGACAGTGTACTGATGATAGTAAATCACTTTATCAAGATAACACACTTTATACTCATCTATAAGAACTTGAAGTCAAAGAATTTAACTCATATCTTTGTCTGCAATGTGATTCAGTTGCATGAGTTATCTATAAACATTGTCTCAGACAGAGAATTAATCTTCACAGAAGAGTTCTGATCTGATCTGATAACTATACTAAAGATCTCATGAGATCTAAGCATAGCTTTTCATCAATAGACAGATGATTAGATAGAATACCTGATAAGTATATTAAAACAGTATCTGTGATACTTTGTCAATTACAATCAGAATGACTGAGTGTATTAATTATCATTTACAGAGTTTATATACAACAACTTAAAGCATGCTAGTATAGATAAAACTCTCTTTGAGATGCTCACTGAGACTTATCTGCAGATGATCTTGATAAATCTGTGAGAGTATACTATAGAGTGTGATAATGTCTGTGAACAGGCTGAGAGAATTCAGAAGATCTAGAAGAAAGTCTGTGAATTCTTGAGAAAGACTTAAGAGTATCAGAAGAGATACTATGACTTTAAGCATATTATAAAGAGTTTTAAGAAAGATAATAGAGTCTGACTGAGTTTAGAAAACATCATTATATGAAGATCTAATAAGAAGCTGAATCTCTTACAGACAGAGTCTTATAAGATTATGAAGAAAGTTAGTTCATAGTTTTACAGATTGAAACTATTATCTGAGTTGTAAATATATAATATTTTTTATATCTCTTTACTCTGTGAATATAAGAAATTCTTAGAAGAGAACTCTGTGACTCATCACTCTGTTTATAAAGCACTAGAGAGTGAAAGAGAATACTAGATTAAAGAGATTATTAACTCAGAGAAGTGAGATTATAAGCTCTGATTTAAGATTCAGTGATAAGAGTATTCTGATAAGATAAATGAGTTCACTTAAGAATTATCTGAGCAGATAAAATATCTGCAGAAGCTGAGATATGACTTTTATACTGTGAATTCTGATAAGTCAGAATAATGTAGTCTTTACTAAGAATCTGATTGTAATAAAAATATTAATACTGTTATTTATAAATTCTAGTCTATAAGATAATAAGTTTCTACTGAGATGAACAGTCTGCAGTGTATATAAGAAAAGAAGAAATTATATTCTTATTAAAACTAAAAAATAAGAAAATAAATAGAACTGTGAACACAATTTGAAGATTAATAAAGAAAAAATAAAGAAAACTCAAACTTATATTCTTATTATTTATAACACTTAATCTCTTTATAACTATTAATTTTTCTCTTCAAAGAAGCAGAGAGTATTATACCTGTAATACAGATAATTATTATATTTAGTGTAAAGATTATCAGAAATGCACAGACTTCAGAGAAGCTAAATATCAGAATATATACAGTTGCAGCAGAGTCTTGAGAGCTGATTCTCTATGTATGTGATCAGATACTTCTTACAAAGCTATGTCTACTCTCTCAGTTATGCTGAAGTATTCAGCCTGAAAATAATTAAAATATGAAGAGAGAGTTTATCTATTCAGATTAACTTCTGTCATAAATTCATGATATTCATATTGTCTTAATTACTCAGATTTTACAGATATCTGAAAACTCATCTCTTATTGACAATGAAATTGCAGAAATGTGCTGCAGTGTGAGAATTATTGATAGAGAATCTAGGCATATTTGTATATATCTGATCAGAGATTGTACAGACAGAGAAAGAATAGTCATAGACTTACAGAACTGCAGAAGACACTGATAACATCAGAAGCTTTATAAGAACTATCAGCTAGAGTCTGTAAGAAATTACTTATAAGAAGACTTATAGCAAAGAGAGAAACTGCACTGCTTGAAGTCAGAAGCTGATCTGAGAAAGAGATGAGATGAACTACTGATCTAAAGATCAGATGCAGTGGCAGAGCTGAGAAGAATGAAGACACAGTTATAAGCAGCAGTGTTTCTGCTTTACTAGCTGATAAAAAGTGATCAGAGAAGTTATGAGAACACTCACAAGAAGCTCAGTGATAGTCAGACATTGTTATGAAGATATTGAAATTGAAAAATTTTTATTCTTAAGAAGTTCTTGAATCAATATACAGATATTGTCAGAAACACTCTCTCTCTATTATCTAAGTGAAAACACTTCACAGATGAATAAGAATACTTATAGTTTATAAAGATAAGAGCTGTTACAGAAAAAGAGAAAAGAAGATAGAGTTCTGTGAACAGATCTGAAGTATTTATACTACTCTAGAGAGATTTACTTACACTGTGAATAATTCTGCAGAACAGTCAGATCACTCTAGTAAATAAAAGTAATTATAAATCACAGATCTGAATCTTTCTATATAACTATAAAGAGTGATTATAAATTATAGATATCTTGATTCTATAATTCTACAGAGTTAATAAAAGAATGAAAAATTTCTCACAATTCTACAGTGTTAAAGAACAATAATTTATAAGAATAAGTGAAAGATTAACTTATGAATACTTCTCTTTGATAAGAATGATCTCACAGAGAGTAATTTATCTATGAGATAAATCTGTGTAATAATTATACAAGAATCTCATGAAAATAATTAAGAGTTAACTGAAACTCTTCTATATAAAAGATATGAAATGAATCTGTATGATAGTCAGAGAAGAATCTGTAGATTATAAAGAATCTTATGAAATAAGAAACTAAGTGACAGACTTTTTTCTCTTTATAGTAATAAGAGATTTTTTCTCACTGAGATTTTTTATAGATGTAAAGAGTTTTTAGTGAGTATCACTGCAGTACTGAGCTGATTCTATGAAGTCACTCAGTGAAAGACTTCATAGATGAAGTCTTAGAGAGAAGAAGATATGTAAGAAATCCTGCTTCTCACAGATTCTTTATCTCTATTTCTATCTCTTATGTAATTAATAGAGCTAGCAGCCCTTGGCTACACATAACTATATAGACTGAAGTTTGTGAATACTATTCATAACTCAGCTTAAATGCTATTATACATTTAATCTCTACATTTTATCTTTCTACTGTGAATACTTCTAGTAGTTAACAGTACATATCACGCCAAGCTGCAAACACCCGAATAATCACCTGCGAGCACTTATTCTTACATGAAGACAGCTTTATATTAATCAAATCAGTTAATAATGAAGCTTATATTCTCATAAGATACTTGTTTTGAATTTATGAGTTTTTACTTGACTTATTTGTAATCTGACAGGCATTTGATAAATCAATATATTCATATCTTGCTTACTGTGAGAGGTGCAGTCTCTGAATCTATATGATGCTGTTTTAACATATAGTTTGTAGCAGCTTTGATATGCTCAATGATGAATGAGTAAAAATTAATATTTAATTGATAAATTCATATCTTAATTGCCTCTTCCTGGCTGTCATTTAATGCTCAATTCAGTGAAATCCTCATAGTTCTTAATTTCTTCTCATTAATTCTCTCATACAAGGTGACATATGAGACTTTGAATTCTCATAACAGAGACATGATTTTTAATTTTGAATTGCTTTTATACATGTCAACAGCTCTTTGCAACTGCTCCTCAGTGTAATTAGAAGATTTAGACATGATTATAATTAATGATGATTATTTGAAGATGAAGAATGAAGATATTGAAAATATTTTCTTTACAGTGTGGTTTTCCATACGCTGTGGCACACTCACTACAGAGAGTGAGTAAGCATGGCACGGTTAATAATGGAGAAGAGGAGGAACAAAAAAGAGGCTAGTCTAGAAAATAGAAAATAGAAAATAGTTGTAATGTAGAGTGCTCTACTGAAGGGGTTGTTGCTTTTCCCGCACGCATTCACTTTACCTCTTTTATATAAAATGACACCATCAAGGATCATTTCTACCATGTACTCTCTTAACCCGGTTGGCTACATTCATCAGAAATTTTACTTAGCGAAAACTACAAGCTCCTCGTGGATCGCAGTGTATATAGCAAATAATTGAATTTAGAATTTAAATTTATTAACCACAAAAAAAAAGAAAGAAAGAAAGAAAAGGAAACGAACAGAAACTCCCAAAAATACAAAGTGGCAAATCACCACGAACCCAGCCTATACCTTTTTTCTATCCGTTTATTATCTTACAGTTGGGCTCCCACGAGCTTGGCATATGCCTCAGTGCTGAAGCTCTTGGGTCGCTCAATTGGCATTCCCAGCGCGCGGTCGATAATCAGCTGTGGGAGCACGCCGAGGGCTCGGGAGACACCAAAGAGCACAGTGTAATACTTGGCCTCAGTCAAGCCATAGTATTGAAGGAGGACGCCTGAGTGGCTGTCGACGTTGGGATATGGCGACTTGACCTGTTGTTTTCGAATCTGGTTAGTTGTGGTCCGTTCTAGAACAGTTGGAATTGTAATAATTGGAGGTTACATACCTTGCCATGCTCGGTCAGAACGCCAGGCGCGATCTTGTAAACTTGGCTGACCAGCTTGAACATAGGGTCATCGGGAAGCTTGCGGAGAGCAAATTCACGCTGGCAGGTGTAGCGTGGGTCAGTCTTGCGGAGGACGGCATGGCCGTAGCCGGGAACAACTTGACCCGCGTTCAGTGTGGACCACAGATAATCCTTAATGGCCTGGTCACTGAGGTCATTGCCAATGGCTTTCTTCATCTCCATAAGCCAGGTCAAGACTTCCTGGTTGGCCCTGTAGGAGTACATTGTATCAGTAACCGTTTGTCCACGGCGGGTTATTTATTTTTATCTGCATATGTAGCCACTTACAATCCGTGGAGAGGACCAGCGAGGCCGTTAAGGCCAGCAGCAAGAGAAAGCATAGGAGAGCTCAAGGCGCTTCCAACCAAGTGAGTGGTGTGAGCGCTGACGTTTCCACCCTCGTGGTCGGAGTGGATGGTCAGGTACAGGCGCATCAGCTCAACGAAGTCGTTGTTGTCACCATAGCCAAGCTGATTGGCCAAGTTGAAACCGTAATCCTTATCCTTCTGAATGGGGGCAACTTTTCCATCCTTGAACACGTTGCGATAGATCTTGGCGGCGATGGTGGGCAGCTTGGCAATCAGGTCCATGGAGTCCTCGAAGGTGTATGTCCAGTAGTCTTTCTTGTTGATACCCTTGGCGTAGGCCTTGGCGAAGGCGGACTCGTGCTCAAGAGCAGTGATGGCTAGGGAGAATTGGGCCATTGGGTGCAGAGTGGATGGGCAGCGGTCGATCAGCTCCTCAATGAACTTGGGGATATCGGAGCGGGCAGCCCAATCTGCGGATAGGGCGCGGACCTGTTGTTCACTTGGGACCTCGCCGGTCAAAAGAAGCCAGAAAAGACCTGTTCAGCCAGTTAGCATGGGGCAGTCGCATAGCAATGCATTCACTTAGTACCTTCTGGCAGAGGCTCCTCTCCACCAGGGGCTTTGGGAAGTAGTTTCTGGCATTCCGGGATCTGGAAGCGGATTAGCACGTGATTTCTCTCGAAAAAAAAAAAAAGCATCTGTCGCAATTGAGAGAAAACACCTACAGTCTTGCCCCGGAAGCGAATTCCCTCCTCAGGATCGAGGACGGATCCCTTTTTCAAGCGATTAGTTTCTCCCTTGTATAAACCCGCTTGATACAAAAGTGAATCCATACCTCCCAGACAAGGGATTTGACTCCCCGAGCACCTCCGTAGACCTGGCCAAGAGTGACTTCACCAATAACCTTGTCTCCATAGTCTCTGTAACAACGGTGGTCAGATCAGATATCTACATATATATATATCGGGGGAGTTTCAGCTCGTACTTTCTCAGCTTCTTGACCTTCTCGATCTCAGCTGGGATGATATCGGCGAAGGTATCTTTGAGCGACTAGCAAGACAGAGAACTTGGTCAGCGCATAAATCTAGGCATTTACGGGATGTCAATTTGGGTTAACAAGAGATGTACTAACCTTAGTCTTAGCAGAGGAATAGCATCTCAAGCTATTGAAGGCGGCAGACTGGACAGCGGGTTTGGAAACAAAGGAGGAGCGGAGAGCAGAGCTCCCCAGTCTGAGAGATGTAGCCATGGGGAATGAAGGGGAAAGAGAAAGAGATCTCAATGATTGACGAGAGATAAGACAGGGAAAGCTAGCAGTGAGATATGAAAGTAATTGCGGAGGGAGGAGAGAAGAAGAGAGGGAGGAGACAAGCGGAGAGCAAAAAGAAAAGATTATGATTGAAAACAAGAAGACAGAAAAAAGTTAAGGTCCCAAGGCCAAAATTTCCTCGCTTTGAGATCCCGTATTACCAGTACCATATTACCGCCAAGATATACAGCCTAACGCACCTGCTTCACTGGGCCACCGTCATACTCGCCGTAATACGGTTACAGCTTCTGTTGGTTCTCCACCTCAACCAATTTTTTTCTTTTTCTTGCGGCCATATCAATATCCGCCTCGTGTATTTACGCAGTACTGTACACAGTAAAATCCTGATTTTTATAATTCCTATATGCCCGCCGGCTTCCGTCAGAATAATAATAATAATAATATAAAATACACAAGCGTCCGGTCCTCCGGTGAGCTCGTAAGGATCTGTCCTCACAAGCCCTCCCCTCCCGTCTCTATCTATCTCTACGCAGCGTAATACATGTTGGATCTTCCTACATCTTCCGCCCGTGGTGACAGTTGAGCCCATCAGCCGGGACGTGAGCGATAAGTATTTTCACGTTCAGCTCATTGTATGTCATTTGTATGGAGTAACGTTAATGTAATACTGTGGCGCCCTCGTCTCTCCACGGCGTGGGGGGCAAGGGAAGGGGGGGGTATTTGGGGGTGGTAGTATCGCGGTGCATTTCTGATGTTGCTAGACACACAGTTGAGTGTCATACACATCTAATAAAATACATATCATTCACTAATATCCAATTCTGTTCCACAATATTTAGATTGAGTATTTTTTAACTTATCAGAAGAGGAGAAGAGTGTGGCCGTAGAATAGTTTTAGATTATTATATATGCTGAAATCCACGGATAAAAATCAGTTGAGTGTTACATACATATATCGATATGTATGTACAGATTAACTGCAACCTAATAATGCTTGAATGGCTAGGTTGTATTCCACCTGCATATTCCACAACACAAACCATGCAAAAAATCGTTTAGTCAATCATTTCTGTCACTCTTGGCTGCTGTTCATATAGGATTATGTTTCAGATCTAGAGCAGGTACCCCAGAAACCGCTCAAGAGAATGCCACTCTCCAGGGTCCTTTTGAGCCATGCAACACCCAATGGTAGGTTATGTTGTCTGATGAATGTGATAAGTTTTCTTAAAGTTTTTTTTTTTTTTTTTCCCCCAAAGAAAACCCATCAGCATACTGTGGATAAGAAGAGTGTATGTATATATTGGCATTTCTAATCCGGATCATTCAACAACCCTTCTTCAATAAACCAGTGAGAAAAAGGATATCCTGGATGAGGGACAAATATACATATCTAAATTGACCCGTGAGGTGATTGTGCGGATTCGAAATGTCTGGGTAGATACAAAAGACCATGAAAAAGGCAGCTGGTTGAAGCCAACTTTCCCGATAGATTGCTAGGTGTGTAACTATATATTGAGAATCGCATTGTTTCTAGCAGTCGAAACCCTTAGACTGACTGCAGCCAGGAGCCCGAAGCCTGGATACGGTTTTCACTTGTCCCTTCTGCACTCGTCCTCGGGCTGTTTGTTTTTCATGATGCACTAGTGGGGATGCTGTGCGTTGATATCGTCACCAAAGCCTAGGGCGGCCCTAGCGACCTAGGGGGCTCGTCCATATTGGTGGTCCTGATGGCATCATACTGTCTATGCTCCTTCAGCTCATCGGGTTCAGTTATGGGTTCTCCTTGACGGTGATTAGCTGCAAGGGCAGCAAGGCGCCTTTGAAACTCGCACTGGTATCCCTGAGGGAAAGAACCTTTCGCAACAACTGCGGAAGCGATGCGGATCCGTCGTATATCATATCATCCCGAATCAGTTTTATCTCAGCAAGCTCAGACGCTTCTCCAGATATCCATTGCTGTTTTACACTGGATTGATGATTATGTCATGAGCTAATCTCAAATAAGCAATAAGCTAACCCAAATAGTAAAATCAGGTCATGTGAGTGATGATATCTTGTAAAGTGTCTGAGAAGAAACAGTTTCTAATTATTAATAACTGTCACGCTCCCGGCCGCGCCAAGGCCCCGCTGCGGTTCCACACGGCCCATCGCTTCCATGCGGATGATTCCATCCCGTCCGAACCGGTTTCCAACCACCCTATGACATCATTCAGATATATCATAGGAAGATCCGATTGATGGATAAGAGAACCCCACTTCTATACAAGGTCAGCAGATTACTCTTTCTTGGCAATGAGACACTGCTGAGGTATCACTTCAGCTATTCTTACTTATGAAATAAGAGAAGAATATTCACTTATTATCTATATAGAATAGCTAGATACTGACTTCTTATCAAAGAAGTCAGTGATTCATTTCTTTTCTTCTACTGAAATATATACAGAAGTTATTACATATCTTATACAATCTTCTTAGTATACTAAGTATTATATCTGTAATATTCTCATAATAACTCTGTAGTCTATAAGCTCACTATTTAAGTAAGATACTTAAGCTCACTTATACAGCTTCTTAAACAACTATCTCTATATAATACTACTAACTAGTCATCACTTCAGTTCTATTATATTATAATTTAAATCACTTAATTTAATTATATGTTTAAATTAGTTAAGTTTTAACAGACTGATATGACTTTATACATCTATACTGAGACTGATTCAATCTCACTCTCTGAGAGAAATACTATATTATTCTCTAGAGTATATATATCTCTACTTCAGCAGAAATCTGAGATTTCTGAACTCACTGTATATTTTAATATAAGCTCTTTAACTGCTTTGCTATTACTGCAGCCTCTACACATCTATATTTATCATGAAGATAGAGAGATTAAGATCAGAGATTTTTCAAGATATAAGAAAAATATCTTATCTGAATTTCACAGCTTTATCTGTACTCTTGAATAGAAATTTCATCTTAATCTGAGTCAGTATAATACTTATAAGATATAAGTAATCTATACTGTCAACCTTCTTGAAGACATCTCTGTAACTACTTGAATTATTAAGAAGAGAGAGCTTGAGTATATTAATACTATTATAACTTAAAAAGAATTCAAGAACTTTCTATTAAATTAAATCAAAGATTACTATAACTGTGACTTCACAGCAGTACAGTGATTTAATATATTATATTAACAAGATAATAAGAATTCTTTCAATTTCAATATAAGATTTAAAGAATATTGAGAGAAATTAACTGATAATTTGAATTAATTAAAAACACAGCTTTATCTTATGAAGCTGACTTATAAGATATAAATAATAATATCACAGTATCAGAGTTTATTAACTAATTATACAGAGCTTATTAATCTGACTTTCTAAATCTATTTAAATAATCAATTCTTTAAGAAAAAGACTAATAAAATTTCTTCTAAGTAACTTATAATAGAATCTAAACAGTACTGTGATGACTTCAGTGTGAAGAAAGTAAAGAAGAATTTCAAGTATTCTGATTCTTGACTCACTGTAAAGAAACACTAAAAAAGATTTAATAAAGATCTCTATTTTAACTGCAGAGCTGATAATTACTATACTAGTAATTATAAGAAGCTGAAGAAGAAAAGAAACTGAGAAGACATCTTCTTAAAGTTAACTTCTCTTCTGACAAATGTATCTGTGAAAGATAAAGAAGAGAAAGAAATGAAGAATTGATAATTCTTATATTTCTGAGTTTATGTTATAATCACAATACATATCTCAAATGAGAAGATATTAGTGAGATATCTATTTAACTCTGAGATAGATACTAACTTTATATTCTATTTCTTTTCTTTAATGAAGAGTTGAAAGAAGATAGATCTATCAGATCATGTGAAATTTACTGATAGAATAAAATATCACTGTTTTAATATAATTCAAGCACAGTGTGTAATCACAGACTTAGAAGAAATCTTTAAGAAGAGCAGTCTGCTTCTTCACACAGTTAATATTATAGATGAGAATATTATTCTAGATCTTCTATAGTTAAAAGAAAATAATTCTCTTATTAACTGAGTTATTCAGATGTGATGATACTGTCTTATTAATGAAGAGATAGTGATAGAGAAATCTGAAGAGTTTTATCAGAAGAGTCTTGAGAAAAAGATTGAGTTAATATACTATATAGCAGATAACTGAGACTTGAGAATAAATAAAGAAGTCATTACTCTTACTGCAAGATTAACAGCAGTATCTGTTATTGAAGATGAATGTATATAATATCTCTTTACAGATTTTAAGAATATCTTTTTGAAAAGAAAAGCAGTGAAGTTTTCTGATATTAAGATATAATATAAGATTTGTCTTGAAGACAGTGTAACAGTGCTATACAGATCTCTTTATAACTTGTCTATAAAGAAATTAAATATTCTGTGTAAATATCTTGAAGAAGTGTAATCAAAGAACTGAATATATTTATTAAAGAGTTCAGCAGAGATGTCTATACTCTTTATATTTAAGAAGAATAGTAGACTACATCTATGCATAGACTACAGAGGCCTCAATAAGATAACAGTTAAGAATTACTATTTATTACTGTTAATTGACAAGATAATTGATTGATTATCTGAAGCAAAGATATTCTTAAAAATTAATATATAGAATGTCTATCATAGAATCAGAGTTAATGAAGACAATGTTTAAAAAATGACTTTTCATACTAAGTACAGCAATTTTAAATATCTTGTTTTATCTTTTAATCTTTATAATGCTTCAGCCATCTTTCAGATCTATATAAATGAGATGCTGCAGAGCCTTGTTAATATCTTCTGTATAATATACTTAGATGACATTCTAATCTTCTTAAAAACAGAGGAAGAACATAATACTCATATTTAAGAAGTATTAAGTTACTTGAGACAGTATTAACTCTATACAAACACTGAAAAATACTCATTCTACATGCAGAAGATTGATTTCTTAGATTATATTATTGAGATGAATAATATTTCAATAAATAGAAGCTGAGTCTTCATCATTAAGAACTGACTGATACTGTGAATGTACTATGAGATGCAGATATTTCTAGAATTTATGAATTTCTATAGATAATTCATTTATACATATTCACAGATTACTGCTTCTCTTACAGATCTGTTAAAGAGAAGTGTGAAAGATAGAAAAACAGAACTGTTTACTCTTATTCAAGACACTGTATAGATGTTTACAGAATTAAAACAAGCTTTCACAGATACTATAATACTGAATCACTTTAATTCTGACTTACTCAGTCAGTGTAAGACTAATGTATTCAGAAATGAGATCTGTGAAATCTTTTCACAGTTGATACTGAAGATCTTTCAATATTGAAAGAATCAGAGAATAATCACTTCTGAGAAAATAGACAATAAATTATCTATAAGAGAAGGCTTTTTCACAGAGTCTATAAGACACTGTAAATGAAAATCAGTAATCTTCTTCTTCAAGAAGTTATCACTCACACAGAGAAGGTATGATACTCATAATCAGAAGATGTTAATAATTGTTAAATTCTTTAAGATCTGATGATATTATCTTCAGAGTAGTAAGTACTCAGTGTGTGATTCAAAGGTTGCTTAAGCCAGCGTACGATTACAGGCGTACGCCGGCTTCTTATATATTGTAATATCATACACTAAATTAATTAGCGTCCGCTATGGCCCCTTTACACTCATACACATATGCTAGTAGTTCGGAAGCGGCCGTGTTATTATCTGACAGTTGTACATTCTTCCAAACCACATCCTCTCTCACCAGATTCAGTCATACTCATGTGACCATGTCATACACCCTAGCTTCATGTGGATTAGCTCATCACTAGCATTTCACAATTGTGTAACCTATCCCTGGTTCAGCTAGCATCTCATGTACATTCTCACAAAGAAACTTCCACTATATTACATCACTTATTCACTAACTTTTCTCATTCTTCAATCATCATCTTCATCATCATTATCATCAAACATCACTATCTCATCTCGGATTTCTACTTCTTCTTCTATTCAACTCTTTTCATCTATTTACCTATCACATTATATGTGTTTCTGACAATGACCCTCTGTTCTCACAACAAGTGTCATTATAGTGCTCATACTGAGCAGTTTATTAGCAGTAAGTGTAATGCATTGTGAAATATACATGATCAGGACTTATTTATCTTCTAACAATTGTCAGAACATACTATCATAGATGACACACTTTCTTCATCTTCTCATATACTCTCTTCATCTTCTCATATACTCTCAACTGTTTCTCTTCTCAGTGAGTTTCTGATTGTGTTTTCTGGCATAATTTTGCATGAATGCAGATGCTGATATGTTTGTTTTTATTTATATAGAATCTTCACATGTTGACAGATCTATGTTCACTGATAATAGTGAACTCAATGTTAAATCATTGATTGAGAACTTGAAGAACATGATAATAAAGAAATTGTCTGTATCATATATAACTGAGTCTTCTGCATTCTCTTCTGCCTTCTCTGTTTCTTTCTCTGCCACTTTCTCTCAATCTTCTACATCTGCCTCTGTGTCTGGTTCTCCCGCTCTCACTACCTCTGTTTTCATAATCTCTGGTTTTGTCATCTCTGTCTTCATTATCAGCTCTTCTCATTTTAAGAAGATATTGCATAGGCTTAATGAACTATATCTTTCAGTATATACACTTCTGCTCTTCTTACTGACTCTCAGAATAATTTATTATATGAAGACTGTGTATAACATAACTATCTGAAGCTCAGTCACAGACACTGATTATTATATTCATTTTAAATATTCATGATAAGACAATTATTCATTCATATCAGAGAATCACTTTCTCTCTTAACAGTGTT